TCCTATCCCCTCTCTCTTGCTCTGTGCCACCACCATGAAAGGCTGTTTCTGCCATGTGCCACTCTGCCTTGGAGCCTGCTGAATATGGACTGAAACCTCCAGTAATCGTGAGCTAAATAAACCTTTCCTTCCGGCATTTTGGGTGTTGGCTATTTGTCTCAGCAATGAAAGAAGAGTAACTGAGACAGAGACTATCTTGACTTTTTCTACTTTACCCTGCCCTACAGGCCAGAATCTACAGCTTGTTCAGACCTACAATGCTACTTAAACTGGTTGTGCTGACATTAGGAAAGCATCCTATTTGCCAACTCCAATGAACAATTTTCAACTCATTTCTTACAAATTGGGTCTGACAACTTCCCTTGGGTTTTGAAAATCTTTGCTTTTGTGGCTCATGTGATGCAACACATTCTTGCTTCTCCTGGAAATGCATCTATTATTCACTTTTCCCTCAGCTAATCTCAGTGGATGTTTTACTCCACTAGTTGATACTTGATTTATCAGGGGTTTCCTGTTGATTATTTGAAAATTTGCTTAATTAAATGTCACTTAGATCAATAAAATAAGAATGCAAAAAAATGATGGACTTTATGGAACAAAAGCTCTATTTTTGGAAAGACTTGACGTAAATGAATTCTTTTTACAAAGCAGTTGTCAAGTTAGGCATTGACAAGAAAAATATAAAGGATCAGGCAAAACTCTGAAACAATGAGAAAAGGTACCTGTTTTTCAAAGAGGGTATCATTGGTATCAAGGGCCAGAAAATTCTTCACTGTACTACAGGACAACATGTTCAACACATTGTGAGAGGTTTATGCTCACTGGGCTCGGTACACTAAGTGTAGCAGTGCCCCACACCAGCGCTCCCGGCCTGCATGGCTGTCAACTAAAAGCCACTTCTGCAGATTTCTGTTTGAGAATCAGAGGCAGAATTCTGCACTTAGGTTTCTTTATGACTAGCTAAATTGAAGAAACAAATCGTAAAATATAGAAAGTGTATTTGGGATATGGGTTGGACACACACACACACACACACACACACACACCCAGGTAACACCAATAAGCAGACTTATATTCAAAGACAAGGTTAGGACGGTATGTCAACAGTTAGCATTCAGAAGTTCAATAAAATTTTGAAGGTATTTAAATTTCTAATTTCTTGCTGCTGGGATCAAAAGCTCAACCAGAGTTCACTGTATGGAACTTTTAAATTGCATTTTTCTGAGAACGAGCACAATTACTTGAGACATCCTACAGAAGAAGTTAGTGTTCTTGTTCTCAAGTAGTGTTGTGAATTGCCAAATTCAGAAAAATTTTAATGAACTGTAGACAATCCTTTTCTATAAATATTTTTATGAAGTATTTTGTGGAGGAAATTCTGTTGTGAAAAAGAGATCTGTGTTACTTAGTAACATATTTAACATGAAACTTTTTATAATTTATCCACTAAAATATACAAAGCCAGGTGTGGTGGCACTCACCTGTAATCCCAGCACCCAGGAGGCTGAGGCAGAGGATCACAGTGCGTTCAAGGCCAGTCTGAACTACATAATGAGACCTTGTCTCAAAAAATCTCAAAAAATCCAATAAAACCCCAGGCAATAAAATGTTTTTCAATTAAGTATTAAAATTCTTAAAAGTATACAGTTTACACTAGTTCCATAACAACAGAGAAACAATACTCTTGTAATTAACTGAAGATTACCTATAATTTGGAGGCATTAAAACCATTTTAAATGGTCTTATCTGCCTTTTTCTTCTTTCAATACAAGTAATACAAAGATTCTAGCCTCTATATAGAAGATAAATTAAGTTTTTAAAGTAGTTTATATCATAGACATGTAAATGGAGAACTTCATCTCTAACCACTGTAGAGAGGTAATTTTAAGAGAAAAACATGTCAATAGAACAGTTTCAGAACAGGTTGGTAGGGACCAGGGAGATGGCTCAGTAGAATAAGTGCTTGCCTGGCAAGCACAGGGGCCTGAGTTCAATCCCCAGTTCTACCAAAAACAAAACAAAACAAACAAAAAAGCAAAAAAAGAAAAGAAAACCAAACAGGTTGGTAGGAGAGTAATAATAACTAATACATTATGTATTGTTACCTTTATACTATGTATAATACAAGATACAGGCATGAAATATTGTCCAAACAATATTATCACACATCTTTCTTTTTAATGCACTAAGAGAAACTAGCTGTATAATCATCATATATATATATAATGATTCCTGTTTGAAGCATATATTTATATATATGGTATGATATATATATGACTCCTGTTTGAAACATATATTTATTTATGTATGATATATATATATACACACACACACATATAT